TATATATATATATATACACACACACACACACATTTTATATACACATCTCTTGGCATACACATTTTAAGAAAGGAAAAAACTATTAATTGTAATTCTCAATATATACCGATAAGAAAAGATGAATACAAGTCACGTTTGACTTCTGCAATTACAAGAGGTGCTCAAAGTGGTTCCCATCAGGGTCCAGACTCTTCTGATTACGGCGAACTACTGCCTGAGCAACATCGACCGAAGTGTCCACTTGTATACATTTTTTTTGGCACCAAGAAATATATATATGTAAGTTTCTTAAATCAACCCTAAATAAATAGTTCATCAAGTTCAGCATTTATCTCCTAAAATAGTAGATATTCTCCAACAAAACCACAACCCTATTATCACATCCAGCTAAACTAACAGCAAGTCCCTGATAGCAGTGAAAATATAATACATAATCAATGTCCTTGTGTCCCCAGATGGTTTTTATTGCTGGCTGATCAAGCCGAGATGCAATCAAGGCCCCTGTTTGAGAGTCTCTTTATCTTTTGCTCACTTACAGCAGTCCCCACCCCACCCTGGGCTGCTTCTCCGCAGGAGCTTAGGAGCCGGTCGGGTGCCTGAAGGTCCCAGGTCCCGGATGCCACTTCTACTTGGTGCCCTTCCCTACCCTCCTCTCCCCCATTTGTCCTGTAACTAGAGGTGGGTGCTAAAGCCTTGGTCAGGTAGGACCTAAGCCACGTCGGGCAAGGGCCCCCCACAGGTGAGGTGTGGCACCCTGTACTGCCCACATTCGGGACATAGGTGTCTGCTTGTCCCGTATCAGCGAGGCTGTTTGATCACTGAGTGACAGCCAGATATCTCCATTGTAAAGTTTTATCTCTTCTTTACAACTAGCCAACAATCTGTGGATGTCACGTGCTCTCCGGTTCCCCAGCAAACGTGCCACTCCTGGCTGTGGTGTCTGTTGACGGTCCTTGCCTGAATCAGTCATTTCACTAGGTGTTGCAAAGTGGCAGGTGTCTGACTGCGACAGCCAGCATTTAAAATCGCCCAGAGACCCCACTTCCTGACCTTCACAGCCAGGTGCTACCCTCCTCTGGAGTCAGGCTGGGTCTAGTTATGCTCCTAACAACCAAGTCAGGTAAAAGTGAGGGGCGTCACTTCTGAGATCGGGCTACAGGAAGACAGCGCTTCCGCCTTCTCTGTCCCTTGCCTGCGCTGCTGGGAGCTCTTGGGGAGCAGTCCTGTGCTGAGACCCACCTAACAAGGGACCCAGGTGGCTTCCAGCCAATGGCCAGTGAGGGCCTGGGACCTCTCCTTGTGAGGAATCCTGAGCCCGGGGAGTCGGCCCCCAGTGTACACGGGCACCTGACCCACAGAAGCTGAGGGATAATAAATGGCTGTTGTTTGACACTAAACTGCCCAGCCTTGGACACAGCCACCCCATGACGGTTCCA